AATCGGTTAATGATGTGCCCCTCCGAGTAAAGTCATGACATAATTATATATTAACAGCTCATGAGTTCATGATGGTCAAATTAAGCATAAACTAATGTGGTAATTAATACATTAACTAACAAACAATCATGTACTAACAATTAAGGTAGTCGTTATTCACACATAAACTCATGTTGTAGTTAAGGTTAGTTCATGATTAGCGCATGCATTAACTCATCTTAAGTTCAAGTTAATAAAGTAATGTTTAGTTTACTTAACATCATTATTCATGTATTGTTATTGTAAAATGTTACCATTTATTTGCTTATGATTATGCTAGCATTAAGATTACCAAAATGCCAGTATACTCCAAAGCAATGACAGAGTAGTGAAGTGCAAGACAGTAACAGATTGCAGTGCATTTTCAAATTTACGTTTCTGAAATGATGACAAGTGAACCTTCGTCAAAAACAAAGTTTATATTATTTGAAAAGATTTTAAAACAACAAATTAAGAACAGCCGCGCAATCTATTCACACAATCGCGTGTTGATGTTTTTATGTGTACAGTTATAATCAATACAATGTTTAAATCAATATAATGTAATAATTTTAAGAAAAACATAATTCTGGTTTTGCAGATTTGTTGACGTACATTTGGTTAAGATAAAACAAGAATACTATAATGCTAATGCAGCTATTACTTTAATTATAGTAGTGATATTTACGGCAAGAAAAATTGTGCCATCACCTTGTCAATCAATGCTCAATTTGATTACAGTTCTGTGATTCCAGTTAGTGTTCTCTTTGTGTTCGCACGGGTTTCCTCCATGTGCTCTGGTTTCCACCACAGTACAGTGTGTCTGAATGAAAGAGTGTATGGGTGTTTCACATTGCTCTGTTGTGGCTAAGGGACTAAGAAGAAGGACAGTAAGTGATTAAGTAATTACAGTTATTGATTATATTGTTGTAATAACCTTACTGAATGTCTACACCATGTTGCAGTGAGCATCAGGTTGTGAAAACAACTGATCCTGACACCACAAGCATAATCAGAGCTATCAGGCCATAAGTTACACCAGCTTTATTCCCTCGAGACTGCTCAAAAGCTGGAATAATTTCAACAGGATTTGCTGGTTGCCATATTCTTGATTGTCCAACCCTCACCCAGGAAACATTACCTTGTGTCATTACAACTACAGAGTTTGACACAGTCATGTCAACCAGTGGTGGGCTTGTATATGGCGGAAGGTGAACAGGTTTTAACTGACCACCACTGAACACACCAGACTGAACACAGTACAACACCTGACAACCATCACTGATGGCAGCGAGTTGTTGGCTGAACTGAGGCGGACAACGAGATTGACCATTTGAGAGAGGGTTGCCAGATTGGCAGCTAAAGAAGCCACCAAAAGGCACTGCTGATTTTGTTGCTTTGACATAATCATTGCTCAAGCAAACCATTATTGCTTTAGACAGAATTGTTTGACTGAAGAAATTTGGAGGACACGTATAAGATCTGGTAAATAGATTGGCCTGATAGATTGGCATAATGGCCTGATAACTTATGGCTTGATAGTTCTGATTACTTTTGTGGTGTCAGGATCAGTTGTTTTGACAACATAAGCTTGATGTAGACATTATAAAAGGTTATTACAACTATATATTTAATGACTGCCATCACAAAATTGTGATTAAATTGAGCAACCATTAAAAATGTGGTGGGTTTGAAGGATTATTACACATTTTCTTGCCATGAATCTCACTACTATACTATCAAAGTACTAGCTGTGGTAGCATTAAAGTAGTATTAGTGTTAGTAAACTCTTATGTTTTATCTCAACCACAAGAATACTTAAACTAATCCGCAACACCAAATATTCACTGCAAAATGTTTTTCTTAAAATGATAAAATTACATTGATTCAAACATTGTATTGATTTTAACTGCACAAAAAAAAACACAATCTGTTTGATAGCTCTGCTGTTCTTGATTTGTCTTTTTAAAATATTTTCAAATAATAAAATAAATAATAAACAAATAATTTGCTTTGGTTGTCTATTTTTTGAAGATGTATATATAAATATATATATATATTAATTTCAAACATGTAAATTTGAAAATGCACTGCAGTCTGTTACTGTCTGCACTTCACAAGTCTGTCATTGATTTGGAGTATACTGGCATATTGGTAACCTTAGGGCTAGCATAATCATAGCCAAATAAATACAGCCAACACAATAGATTTTAAACTGAGGTCTCTGACTGTTTAATCTTACCTGAAGGTATTCTAACATGGAGAACTGTTTTAAAGCATATTTCATGAGCTATACCTATTCTGAAGTAAAGTATAATAAAACTAATCTGAACATATCTTGAATTGAAGACTGATTAAAATTAGAGAACATTTTCAGTTTTTGGTGTTAATCTGGCACATGGTGGTACTTTCTGCATATTGTCCGTTAAGGTTTATTTAACTGGCAAACAAAATTTTCAAACAAAACAGCCAAACTTGTAAAAGCACAACGCTCAGGTAAAGACAATAAAAGTTTTTAGTTTGAATTGCCTTGGGTATTTTGTAAAACACCATTTTACTATCATCGTCATGAAATGAAAATTCCTTCAATTTTTGAAGATTAAATTATTTCTGAAAAAAAAATCAAGTGTTTATAAATTGTTTTATAATTTTGACTTTATATTGATGCGTCATAAAACATATTAATTGTTTAATTGCTTTGCCTTATCCTTAATTAGATAGTCTTGTGAAAACCACCCCCTATCTGCACAGGTGGCTTAGTAAAGGAACAAAACAAATCAATAAATTAAATTCAAAACCCAGCCAGTCATTAGATGAAAGTCAAAAACAAGCCAGAACAAGCCTGAAAGTAAGATCATTATTGCCAATCAGCATGTTTTCACATGGCGTGTAAACAATGATTGGCAAGGACAAGGTCGTTGGTATTAAGGAAGTTTAAGTTTTAAAAGACAAAAAAAAAAAAAAAAAAAACAAAAAAAAAAAAAAGTTATTTATCAAATTCCTTGCAATTATTATCAATATAATCAAATCAGGGCATTTGTGGCCTCTTGCTTGGTAGCTGGACTTGTAATTGAAAGGTGTATAATTCAAAGTAACAGCTGTGGCAGTATAGTATTATTATATAGTTATATAGTATTACTATATATTAGTATATAGTATTAGTATATTCTAATGTTGAATCTCAACCAAATGCATACATGTCAATTAATCTTCAAAAACAAATTTCTCAAATGCAAAAATCACTTAAAAACGTAAATTTAAAGACGCACTGCAATCAGTCACTGTCTGCACTGCAATAGTCATTCATTGATTTAGAGCGTACTAGCATAGTAACCTTAAGGCTAGAATAATAAAATACAATAAATTTATAACACAGCTATGTATAGCCAAAATATGCTTCATATGCAGTACTCAATAAAAATCCTAATTAGGAAATGTATGTTTAGTCACTGTTTAGTTTAATTTATCCAAGTGAAGTTTATTTATAAACTAATTTCGGGAGGAGCACGTGCTTATGATTGATAGCACCTGGTCCACATTAGCTAACACTAATTTACCAATCAGACGACTCCTTAACCACTATAAATAACCAGAGTATCTTACTTCAGCCATCTTCGTCTTGAAGAATCCCCCCTTCCACCCCTACTCCTCCCATTTCCTTGTCAGGGCAGCACGGAGGCCTAGTGGTTAGCACCATGGCCGCACAGCAAGAATATCACCGACTCAGACACTTCCTGGCCAGGTCGGCATTTCTGTGTGGAGTTTGCATGTTCTACTCGTGTTTGCGTGGGTTTTCACCGGATTCTCCGGTTTCATAAGTAAATTGACAAACATGTAACATAAGTAAATTGACAAATCTAAATTGACAGCATAGACACTTTATAGCATTAATCTACTTCCAACATTTTCAGCACGGAAGTTCTCGAGACCTACCTGAACTCGGACTCCCCTCTCGACCTGCAACGGGAGGGAGCCCCGGGCAGCATGCCAAACAAGCTCCATAATCAATCATCAGCTAAGGGCGAACTCTTGAAACAAAAGTAAAATAGTAGTTTAAAGCATATTACTATAAGCTACGTCTATTCTGAAATATAAAAAAACAAAACTCAGATCTGAACACATCTTGAACTGAACACATTTAAATTACAGAACATATTCAGATTTGTCGATGTGGTGCCTGAGTGCAATGTCCATATAATGCCTGATGAGTCCTTTTAACTGTCAGTCAAACTTTCTATTTTTAACCAAAACCCAGCAAAACCAAGATGTACAGGTAAAGGCAAAATGGAGAACCTTTCATTCATAGCTAGAGAGGTTGGTCATTCTAAATAGGTTACCTTTTCAGTGTCACAAACTCTTTAAAGTCCCCCAAAAGGCTGGTTGTCCACAAAATTCCTCTAAAAAAACAAACATATGCGATAACAGGACAATACAGAGCACCTTATGGATAAATGTTTTAACACTGCAGCTAGAATTGCTCACCAGGTCAATGCTGAAACTCTGCAGCGTCTCTATGTTGTGTCTTGAATTTCATTGCTGTTATCTAACATTGATAACAAAAAACCCACAAACACACAAAAGGTTTTTGAAGTGCCTTGGTTATTTTGTTAAACACTGTTTTACTAAAGTGGTAATAAAATCGAAATGTCTTATAAAAACTACATTATTTCTGCAAATATCAAGTTTTTTCATGTTGATGATATAATCATTGATATGTCCTAAAACTTATTAGTCACGACATTCACCTTATCCTCACTTACACAGTCACATGAAAACCTTCCCCGGCTGCGAGATAAAAGAACAAAACAAAACCATAAATTAAATTTTAAATTAAGCCAGACATTGGTTGAAAGAGACAAACAAGATACTTCTTGCCAAATGGCATGTTTTCAGAAGGCGTGTCCTTAGCAAAATTCTGGAAAATGACACCATGCCAATGAAATTCATATTTAAAAGAGTCAGCATTTTCTGGAGAAAAACATTGAAGGGGACTTTTGAGATTGTTGCATACTCAGTGTGGGTAAGACTTCATTTTTGAGTGATATTTGAGGAAATTCAATGCATTTTCAACAAGTAAATATGCTTTTTTAACAGTACAATTTAAAAGCATTAAAATAGCAACATTTTATAAACAAGCAAAACTATTTGAACTCTGCATGAACTGTATTTAAATTATTCTCTAGTCTTACAGGAATTTAACTGTATTTTTCCTGCAGACATGGAAACAAATCACTGTGTTCTCCACGTGTTCTTCTGCATTTCTTTGTGTTTGGTGCTCTGGGACTCAAGTTTAGCTTGTCACACTGGCTCTCAGGCAGAATGTGAAAAAGCTCCATTTGTGCCTGGTTACAATCTGGCAGGAGAAGGCTTTGACTTAGTCAAAATGCGACGTAAAGGTGCCTTTCTGATTAATGTCAAGTCATACTCAGTCAACGGTACCTGTACCATCTGCAAGAACCGCTTTCACGGAGATCAGATGCAGAAACTTCCCTCAGCCGTGCTGGACTGGCGTATCTTCAGCACTACAGCACAGCCTTCTACTGCTCTTCATCATTCAGTTGATTCCCTCATGAAGAGTTCAACGTCACTCATTAATAACAACTGGAAAATGGATCTTCGACTGGATGACACAGGAAAGGTGATTTTTGGAGGGAGTCGATCAGATATTGCTCAATTTGCCCATTCTCAGAGTGCAAAAGATAAAACAACCTTTGCCCTCCACGAAATCAGCTGTACATACTACAGGTATGTCCATATGATATCATGACTCATTTGGACTATTTTATACACACGAGCAAACAGAACAATGTAGCTGTTTACAAATAACTAAAGAAGCCGGGTTTATAAATAAATGTAGAGAGAGAGGGAAAGAGAGAGTGAGAGAGAGTGACTATATCTTTGTGTTTTCCAAAACACGCTCTGCATTTAAATAAAAATGTTAAAATAACATCCAGCCTAATTACATACTAATAACTAGGGATGTCTAGATCAGATCACATGATCATAATTCAGGCCCGATCAAGTGGTTTCAGACTCGATCAGAATTGGAATTTGATTCCCTATCAGGACTCTATATATGTGTGGCATGATATCACTTTGTCGCAAAGACGCTATTGGTTAAATGCTGGCAAAGTAGAACACGGAAGCAGCTTAAAGGGGTGGTTCACTGCTATATCATATTTTAAACTTTAGTTGAAAAAACAGCATAAACAGCATCTCTGAATGTAAAATGCTCAAAGTTCAATGCAAAGGGAGACCTTGGTTTTTACAGCGTTAGCTTAGCAAAGTCTACAATAAACAAATTTTGGGGACTACAAAAAAATACTTCCGGGCCTTGTGAGATCACAAACGTACTTTTATCGTGCACACACTCTGCACAGGTAAGAGGCGTGGTTAGAGGTGCTGTAACGTTACAGCAGAGAGAGAGAGAGAGCAAAAATTTGTCTAAACGATGCTATTTCCACAGAGCTTCGTCTGTTTCTATATTTGGGCTTTGACACAAAGATAGAAGTGCTTACAGTTCAATATTTATTATGGTCGAGAAAATTATAAAATACATAGCAAGCATGATTTGACAAAACAGCTCTAGAATCTCTCCCAGTTCAGTGCTGGATTCGGTTAAAATCTCCTTAAACATGGAGCAGCTACAAACAGACGCTGTGAACTCTGAGCCACGACCTGTAAGTGTTTTTATTTGTTAAAATTGATTATGACATGTACAGTGTCTAGCCTTAACAGTATGCTGTAGCAAAAGTGTAAACAACGGGAAATACTGTTCGCCACCACCAACGGTTTAGCTACAAATTCATATTTATCAGTTAAACTGCTGTAAACACACACACACACACTTCACAAGCTTGTTTGTCTCTCTATGTGTGTGCGACAGCAGTGTTTCTCTATAGGCAGCTTTTCTATGCGTTTTACATCTCAGATAATGAAGTCGCAAAAGAAATGTGAACAATTCATGTTACTTACACAAGCATAGTCCGGATATGTGTGAAAGACGTCGTGTAACGTCGAGTTAAAAAAAAATACAAGAAAGCTCACCTAACTCATGTATATAGCAGCAGAAATATCAATCAAGGCTAACACAGGTCACATCCCACATCTTGTGCTTTATTCTTCTGTTAGCAGCGTCACTACAGAAAAAAATTTAATCCGAGGCATCAGAGAAAAAAAACAAAAAAAGCATGGGTCCCGCGCACATGCGCTTCTTGTGTTACAGATAGTTCATAGTATAAACAAGCACACACATAAACACACACACACAATGGCACACACACACTCTCTTAAAGGAGCCGTACACCATTTTCACTCGTTTCAGACTCTTGTCAGATGTTATTTTAGAGAGCGGGCATGAGGTTGACTGACTGTTTACACAAAACGCGCTTGCTTGTAAGGGCGTGACGTGGAGCCAATCGTGGAGCGTGAATCGCAGCACATTATGACACAAGACCAATCAGAGTCAGGAACTAGGAAATATATGAGTCGTTTTCATGTTAGCTGAGTAGCTGTGAATAATCAAAGTGAAATTTATGAAAAAACAACATGATTTCCTTCAAGTGAAACATGAGCACACATTACTTTGCATCTTATTAACACAACCAAGCCTTAAAATTACATTCTGGACTCACCCTTTAAAGTAGAAAGTGTGAGTATGTCTGGTTGCTGCTAGACTGAAAATGGTTGTGGCCGGAAGTTAACGAGAATTATATATATATTATTTATTAAATTTCCCATTTGTTGTATTTTACTAACCAAAAAAGGTAATGATTCACACTCAATTGCTTCGTACTGTTTTTATTTTTTCTTTCTCTTACGTTTTATGGGTGATTAAAAGACACAGATGTTTCGGCACAAAGCCTTCCTCAGTGTGTTGTATTATATTAAAGTCTAACCCTACCCCAACCATCATAGTAATGTAAAAACAGTACTTGTACTGAATATTATTTATGCTATCAAATAAATTGTATCTTTTAACACCTACCCCCACCCCAACGCTAAACTCAACAGTCACAGTACTGTAAAAATATTAATTATTGTTATACAGTGTCATAAAAAATGCTACTTTAATTGATGTACATTTCACACTTCCGGCCGGCCGTGTATCCGATTTAGACTTTACCAGTTTGTCTCCGGTCTGGAGGTATTATAAAGCTGATGACGACAACATTGCCATAGCAAACTGTGAGATATGTAAACTTGGGATTGTCTGCCGAGTATTTAAGTTGATTTGTTTTTATATTATTTTTTTTATGGTTACTGTTGCACTAAAGTTCAAAAGTGAGGAATTGATGTTATTTATTACTATTAGTTGTTGAATGTTAAAATAAGGCGAATTAAAAAAAAAAGGAACATCCTGCATCTGTTTCTTCGCTCTTCTTTATGATTTATATGTATTATAAAAGTAGCAGATCAGGTTTTGGTAGATACTCAAAATCAAATGACTCAAGGACAAAAAAAACCTGATAAGCACATCCCTACTAATAACCTCTTGCAGATATTAATATGACTTTTAAATGATACACCCTAATAATTAAAATCTTTTTTTTTTCAAAAAATGTTGCAGTTTACAGGATTAGCACAGATATTTCTCCATTGTAAACAAGCAGTACCTGCTAATCTGTTAGCTTGTGTCAGTGTGCAGGTCATTATTTGACAGGAAGCTGATGCTGCAGACTTTCATGAACGCACCCAGCATTTGCAGAGTTTGTGGTTTAAACATATCAGTGTAAATAATATTCAGTATCTTGCACACACTGATCGTTTCTCTCGAAGATAACTCAATGTACCACCTGGAGATTTACAAGATATAAAAACTTATTTATTTTTTTATTTTTGGACTTACACATTTTTTATAAATTATTATGCACTAAGATTTTAGCTAAAAACCTTGAATGTTCTATCGAGGAAGAAAAGTTCCCAATCTTGGATGGCCTGAGAATAAGTAAATTTACAGAAAGAAAATACAATATAGAGTAAACGATCCCATTAAAGACACTTTGAATTATAAAGAAAATTATATTAGGTTAAAAATAATCTATGAGTACTGTGAACTTACTACATTTAATATGAAGTAATCAGGAATTTAATTAACTCATTACCTTCAACACTGAGTTCAAAACTTTTTTCAAATGAGTAGAATTAACTTTCAGCACATTTTGAGTTGAAAAGCACGCTCACATGATAATGACAATAAGTATTCTTAATAATATCTTCATTTTGTAGTTACAGATTAAGAGACCACCCAGAGCTCAGCACTGAATTCTCAAAACATCTCCAAACACTTCCAACACAGTATGATGACCAATCTAAACACCTGTACCAGAAAATGATCGAAACCTACGGCACTCACTACATACGCCAAGTCCATCTGGGAGGGCGTGTGAGGTGGGTCACAGCTTTTCGGACATGTCTTGCAACCCTGAAGGGCTTTTCTGAAATTGACATTAAACACTGTCTGAACATGGATTTCATGATAAAGTTGGGGTTCCAGCAAGCTACAGCCTCGTTTTCGAACAAATGTTCTAAAATCCTTGTGGAGGAAATGGGCATGGGCTTCTACCAGACCTTCATGACACACAAAACAGAGGTTCTGGGAGGAGAGAAATACTTCCCAGAGCTTGTTTTAAACCAAAGCCCGGCTGAAGCTTACTCACAATGGAGAAAGAGCCTGCATGACAACCCTGACGTTATTTCATATGCTATTTTCCCTCTCCATCATCTGGTGGCGGATCCTGAGGTTAGTGCTAATCTGAAAAGAGCAGTAACACAATATATTGAAGAGAACGCGATTTCTATAGACCAAAAGGAATATGAAGGATGTTCTAAAATGTCAAATCTAGATCAAAACTGCTGTCCTTTGAGAGCCGGTCGTGGCACATTGGTAGTGTTTATGATGGGAGCCACAGGCATGAATGAAGATTATCTTTCATCTTCTGATGGTTATGTGAAAGCTTGGTACAATGGTATATACAAGGAGACTGAGGTAATTCTGGACAATAATGACCCTGATTGGAACACCAACTTTAATTTTGGGTCAGTTGAGTTTGGCCATCAACTAAAATTTGAAGTTTGGGACAGTGATGTGAATTTTGATGATTTTGTGGGCGAATGTGTGATCAGTCCTGAAAGTGGGATGCACATACACAGATGTAAATTACAGAGAGGGTTCTTTTATTTCATCTACAGGGCTTTATGTGATGATCACTTGACAGGTCCTAGGTGTAGCAGATATTCACCAGAATTATAAGACCTACAGTGTTTAGGTGCAGATTACTTTTACATAGATAAAAGGTGTGGTGTGTAGCATTGATTTGCATCTAATTTTCCAACCAGTTTGAAATAATTTACAAATATGTTTAATTAATAGCTTTTAACTTGGAACATGCACGTGAACAAAAGGACAATGACGATGAACATCACGTTGTTCAAATCTGCCTAACACTGTTACTAATACTTCAGTAAGCTTATAATCCATGAAGTTGAAAAATGTTTTTTCAGTCAAATTTCACATCACGGATGAATAGACAAATAGATACATCCAATACATTATATTCATGTGTGCATTTGTATATTAAATTATGTATAAAGTGTGGCAGTTTAATAACAACCTGCTAGTTTTTTTAAGGATTTTTGCAATAAAAATGACTGATTTTGTGGTGGTAATTCCCAGAAATTTGCAGAAAGTTTTGTGAGAAAAAAAAGATAAAAAATGCTTTCCTTTGCCTTAAGGCTTACCCTATTGTAATACACCTAAAACACAGACTGCTGAAAAAACTCGTCAATGGCATGGAAGTGTTTTCTCTCATCAACGGCAAAGAAAAGAGTTAAGCAAAATTACTTATCACTTTGATGCACATCATAATAGGCTGCCAGCCATACATGTAAAGCAAAAATAATGTCCTTCAATTCGGTCACGTCCAGCAGCCATCATCCTTGGACCAGCTTCATTATTGTAAGCTGCTTGTTTTTGTTTTTTTGTCTGTTCCATTGCTCCGTTTGTTAGATGTTTGCTACAATTTATTTTTTTTTGCTCTCTAAATGCACAAAATGGCCAATTTGTGCTGTGTTACTCACTTGATTTGTGCCATCGGATTTCTAATCGCATCTTTGCACGTAAACTTTACGTGTACATCAATTGTGCTTCCTCTGCTTCTGCTTACTGCATAGGCTGCAAAAAATTTACCCCACTTCCATGTAATGTAATGATTGTGAGGGCTCAGGTAAAACGTAATTTTTTGAGAGAGACTCAAATACATCACGTGCGCTGCATAGGCAACGTCTATGTCATCTAAATCAATTAATTGCAAACTGAAATAAATATAATTTGATTTTATGCTTTGTAATTAGATGTTTTATGATATCATTTAATTTTTTGTGATTATTTTGAGTTTAAGAATTTTGCAGTTCGAAAAAGATTGTGACTTTGTTGATCTTGCGTTGAATTCAGCAATCGCAAATTCGCAAAAAACTAGGGGGTCTGAATAACTATTATTTCAGCTAATAACGCTGCAAGCGTGCAAAACTAAATTCACTTTATCTTGATGCTAGCTTAGCGCTATTAAGATTAATTACAGTCTGGAAACATTATCTACCATTTTACATATACATAGTAACAAAAACATTAAGGAGTACTTTTAGGGTCTTTTTTTAAATCATGTCATGCATTAACTGAGATGTAACCTTGTAGTATTAAAAGGGCTATTGTTAACAAGCAAAAATGTGCAAGCTGATTATTGTTATGTTGTAATAAAATTGATTTACTGCTGGCTCTGCAAAGCGTAATGTTTCTCCCACTCCACCATCATGTTTTAAATCTTAACGTTATGCTCTGCAACACTTTAAGCTGAACTTTGAGCACCTGTTTATGCTAATCCAATGTTTATACAATTGAATTAAGTGATTGATTAAACAATCATACATTAAAATTAAGCAAATATATGAATTATACGGTTGTCAAGATAGCTTAACGTGCTGCAATTTAGGAAAGTACAAGCAATTACAAAAAACACCAGCAAATAAAGAAACAATCTTTATCAATTTGACAGCACACGTGTTGCAAATTCTCACAACACAAGCAACCGAAGAAATGCTGAGCAATTGGTCACAACACAAACAACTTAGGAAACACGCAGCAATTAGTCACAGCATTTGCAAATATCCACGTAACGCAATGGAAATGTTTCAAGGGTCCCCAAAACATGATGGACCCTGCTGAAATATAGTATTGTTGTATAGTATAGACAGTGTTGATTTGATATATAGATGTTTTGTTATGCCGTGACTGTTGCTCACTGAAAAGATTGGTGGTCTTTGAAAGGTGAGTTGTTTTTCGTTTATTTTAATATCCTGATTATATGACATAATAACACATCCATATCTCAGCAGGGTCTGTTCGCTGTGATTTAGATCTAATGACCAGATAAAGATGGCAGTTGATGTATCGATATTGAGGCAACAGACTGAAGTGACCCATGGGGCAACTTTATATTAGATGTTTATAGCAACAACCCATTCTCAGCCATGCTAATTTCCTCTGTGATGCTATGTCTCTAGCTGATGACATTGCTTCAGTGGAGGTAGTTTTCCCAATTCCTCTAACTCCTCTTCCTCATCAAATCAGTACCAGAAAGTGTAAACATGAAGTACAAAGGGAAAACATCATTGCAAACTCATGGTTGACTAAAAAGCAAATTAAAATGAGCATTGCAATTGCCTTGACAGGTTTTGTAAAGGCATATGGATTTTTTTGCAAATAAATATACTTTTAACAATTTACTGTAGAAGTAACTTACTGGTAGCAGTTTGCCAGTAACTTACTCTAAATAAATGACTGAAAAATTACTGCACTTACATGTACAGCATCATTTATCTTGCTGTATTATATATTTACAGTCTTTTATATATTTATATTTATTGTAAAATATACAGTATTTTTTACAATAAACATTAAAACCCAATAATATACTGGATAACTGTCCTACAGTAAAATAAAGTTCATACTACAATTGAATAATGTGTAATTTTCAAAAAAAAAAAAAAAGTTTATATATACTTTTTTGCGCTGCTTAGATTTTTTATTTGCAGTTCTCATTTTTTAATTTTTTTCCTTTGCATTTTTTGGTCTTTTTTTCTCAATACTTTATTTTATGTTTGCAATCCTTTATATTGTCTTGCAAGAGTGCGAGGCCCTGATTTCGTTAAATAAAGTTTTTTTTCAACCACTTAATAATGTTGAATTGAGTCAGTTTTTGAGAATGTACAAATAGCAAACTAGAAAAAGTAGCCAAATCTTGAACTGCCCAGATTAAGGGAACTATTTAAAAAATTAACTAAAAATATACTAAGGGAAGCTTGAGGATTTAATGATTGTAAAGTTTATGACCAGTAATGCATCCAGTCATCAGAGGTAATCAAAGTGCCAGGAATCACTCTGCAGGCCATAACGTAAACCCCAAAAGTAAATATTACAATAACAAAAATCAAGGACATTTCTTTGAGCTTCTGCAAAATTAACAACCACAAGATGGCAGTCATATCCCTGTGGTGAACACATTGACAAAATAGGATAGATTTCTGTGATTTTTTATATATATATATATATACATACATACAGTGCACCCGAAAAGTATTTATAGCGCTTCATTTATTCCAAATTTTTTATGTTACAGCCTTATTCCAAAATAGATTCAATTAATTTAATTAATTTTACACACAATACCCCATAATGACATTGTGAATTTTTTTTAATTGTTGCAAATTTAATAAAAATAAAAACCCTGAAAAATCACATGTACATAAGTATTTACAGCCTTTGCCAAAAAGCTCAAGTACAGTCTGTTTACTCTGATCTTTCTTGAGATGTTTCAGCAGCTTAATTAAAGTTTACCTGTGGTAAATTCAGCTGATCAGACATAATTTGAAAAAGCATACACCTGTCTATACAAGTTCATTGGGTTGACACTGCATGTAAAAGCACAAACCAAGCATTAAGACAAAGGATTTGTCTTGAGGCACAAGGCTGGGGAAGGTTACAGAAACATTTCTGCTGCTGTGAAAGTTCTAATGAGCCCAGTGACCTCCATCATCCCTAAGTGGAATATGTTTGGAACCACCAAGACTCATCCTAGAGCTGGCCGTCCATCTAAGCTGAGTGATATGGGGAAAAGGGCCTTTGTCAAGGAGGTGATCAATAACCCGATGGTCACTCTATTTAAGCTCCAGTGTTCTTCTGTGGAGAGAGGAGAACCTTACAGAAGGACAACCATCTGTGCAGCAACCCACCTATCAGTCCTGTATGGTAGAGTAGCCAGAAGGAAGCCACTCCACTCCTGGAATTAACCAAAAGGCATCTGAAGGGTTCTCAGACCATAAGAAACAAAATGATCTACTCTGAAGAGACTAAAATTGAATTCTTTGGGGTGAATGCTAGGCGTAACATTTGGAGAAAACCAGGCACCGCTCATCAACAGGCTAATACCATCTCTACAATGAAGCATGGTGGTGGTAGCATCATGCTGTGGAGATGTTTTTCAGCAGCAGGAACTGGAAGACTAGTCAGGATAGAGGGAAAGATGAATGCAGCAATGTACAGAGACATTCTGAATGAAAACCTGCTTCAGAGTGCTTATGACCTCAGACTGGGGCAACGGTTCATCTTCCAGCAGGACAATGACCAAAAGCACACGATTAAAATATCAATGGAGTGGTTTCACAGTAACTCTGTGAATGTCCTTGAGTGGCCCAGCCAGGGCACAGACCTAAATCCTATTAAACATCTCTGGCGAGATCTGAAAATGGCTGTACACCGGTGCTTCCCATCCAACCTGATAGAGTTGAGAGGTACTGCAAAGAGGAATGGGCAAAAATTCCTAAAGACAGGTGTGCCAATCATGTGGCATCATATTCAAAAAGACTTGAGGCTGTAATTGCTGCCAAAGGTGCATCAACAAAGTACTGAGCAAAGACTGTGAATAATTATGTGTGATTTTTCAGCTTTTCTATTTGTAATAAATTTGCAACAATTTCAAAAACTCTTTTTTCACATTGTCATTATGGGTTATTGTGTTTAGAATATTGAGGAAATAAAATAATTTAATCCATTTTGGAATAAGGCTGTAACATAAAAAATGTGGAAAAAGTGAAGTGCTATGAACGGATGCACTGTCTCTTTCAATCAGGGCTACAGCAATGAACAGTGTTATAATTGTATGACACAATTAGATAATCAGCCGCTGTAAACTGTAAGTTTGTCATCAGTAACTATAAGCCAGATCTGTTACAACTCCCCCAACTACAGTAGGAACATCTCCAGGAGTGAGTCTCCTTGGCTGACCCATTTGTACAGGTCTTGGTGTCCCAACTGTCACAATTTTTTTTTTTTTGATTTAGGGTTGTAGATGTTGAAGTCTCCCACAACTAGCATGTCAGAAATAAAATCATCAAACCCTTATAGAAAATTGACATAGGTTCCTGTGGGTCTATAGAGATAACATGGATTTCTTTTCTTTGCAACACTATAAACAAACGAAAAAAACTGTCAATTTATCCTCATAACATTAAAAATAGCACTAATGATGAATAAATGCAACTCCACCACCACAACCAGTCTGACAGGATTCATGCTTATAACCTGAATGAGTGGTTTCATTTAAATGTATTTATTTAGATTAAGCCAGCAAATATCAGAGTATAAGACTATTCATTTACAATTTAAAACTTTGTCCATATTGTGTCTTTATTGTAAATGTTCTTTAGTGCATAATAAGAGAAAAGTGGTTGTAATTGGCTGTTGCCATGATGATTGAAGCAGAAGCCAACAGCCTGTTTGAATCTAGCACAAGTTTGATTAGGGTTAGAGATAAATGCTTTCACTTTAAAATGAAACACACAGGGAAACAAACAACTCCTCATAAATGATTAATCACGTGCATAATCATATGATTTTAAGATGTGCTGCTCTGATTTAAGACCTTTTTGAATCTTCTGTGTAAGGTAATATTAGTATATAATTAATATTTTTGCGCAACCCTTATTAGACACTGTATTTTCCATGAAGGCTCTTTAAAACGTGTAATGTGTTAAATAATAAAAAGAAGTAAAAAAAAAACTATACTGAAAAAAAAAATCAAAGATGATTCCTTGGTTCCTTGATTCTTTACTAATTTTTTTATGTTAAGTGCTTGTAAACAATTTATTTGGGTTAAATTTAACAAGTTGAACATGACTAAATTTCATTTGTTTTTTAAAATATAATTTTAAGTGTACCTAGAAACATGTGACAACTAGGCTACATGTTTGTATCAATGAGTGGTTTGTTGGTATCAATCTGGGGTGTGTTTCCGAAAATCGTCGTTAGCCAACTAAGGTCGCAAGTTCTGTTGTTACAAACACAGTTCGTTGATTTGGTGTTTCCCAAATCCATCGTTCCTATGAACATTAGCAAACTGCATCGCAAACTTGAATGCTTGCAACTACACCTCTGGGGCTAAAACAAATATTAGATTTTTTTTTTTTTTAATGGGTGTGCTTGTAAAACAATATAATTTGCACAAAGAAATGATGGGGTTCTTCTCTAAAGAAGTAGTTACTCCACCTTGTTTAGAGCATAATTATGTGCGTTTTACATTATAACTATTGTGGTTCAAACGATGGATCTGCGACAGAGAAACTACAGGTTTTGGGAAACACTTGTCACTACATCGTTCTTTTCCCAAACTATGCATTGTACTATGATAGTTCAGCCGCGAGTTATGTTGGTTTGTGGGTG